TTATTTATTCTTTTTTTTCTATTTATAGATTCTTTTGTTGTTGTTTGGCTCGAGTCATTGTTTTATAGGTCGATGACCTTTGATGACTCTCACTTTTCGTGAATAAAATTCATTCATTCATTCAAGCGTGGAAGCCGATGTCCGATTGAACTAGAATTTTTATCGCAGACACTTCACGCTCTATCTCAGCTTCTAAATTTAAACTAAAACTATAATCTGCATTATAACAGAAAACTACACGCGTACAGTTTGAAATTTAGATTATCATTTTATTTTTCTTATCTAGACAATCTTCGCTAACAATGCGGGAAAAGATGTAAAGATTAATGAACAAGAAATAGAAAAATGCACTTAGACTAAGTGTAATTAATTTTGTTTTCTAGAGTCTTTTTGGAATCTCAGGCCGATTAGTGCACACGATGGATACGCAGGTACTGGAAACTGAATTTTTCTTATTACACAAGAGTTTTGGATATTGCTCCCTTTTATACCTCTCTGATTAGCCGTATGTGTTGCTGTTATTTGAAAAGAACCCATATGGACAAACTTCTAGTTTTCGCTTTATTCAGAACATGTATACGTTGTGCAGTCCGCTAAAAATAAGTGTACCGTCACAACTAGCAATGCCATCTCATTAGAAGAGCTGTCAAAGTGAGATTTCCATGGGTATATCGAGCTTCATGAGGAAAGAGAGTGTGACTGATTGCTCAATTTTGTTACCCAATGCTTCCCTTAACTTCTGCCTCTAATAAAGAAGATATGAACCTGCAGATGTAAAGAAATATAGAAACATATGATTAAAATTCTTCCATAAAAAAATGATTAATCTTTTATTGGAGCGTGGGAAACGTGCTCGTATGGAAATCAGCTGTTCATGACTCATTTTTGTAACAAGAAAAATGGAGAAAAACTGACATTTTCTTATCTGTTATATCGACGGCTTTCACTTCGAGAGTACGATTGTTAATGTTATTTGGAAGACTGTGATGATGAAACAGTTAGAGCTAGTTTTTTCGTTCACTTCTAATAGGTATTTACATTAAGAAGAGAAATTCACAGATTATTGTCTTCGCTTAACTAGCGCCTCTGATGAAAATATATTAGTCTAGATCAGATGTTGACTAAATTTTGACTAACCTTAGAAGAAGAATATTAGAGATGCATTACTTTCTGCATTCAATGACACACATTCTTTATGTTCAGTGTAAAATCACTATGCTAGTCTGTTTCATAAAGTCTTATAGTTGTTATCACAACTTCAATTCTCATCACTAAACTTCTATTTTGCTTTTCTTTTTGTCTTTTTAGTCACGCACTGTTTTTAGATTTAGAGATCAGCCTTCGTCGTCCGGTTCAAAAAAAGCTTCGGAATGAAATCAGAACATTGTGAAAAATTTGCTGCGTACATATCAGGACAAACATGGGGTTTGTGAAGTCATCAACTGCCGCAAGATGATCAAATAATGTTGATTCATTTTGAAAGATTATACTCTCATTAGTCTAGACGTTTATCCGCTAACACATGAAAATATTTTGGGCATTCGACAAGAATATGAGTACAAAATATGTCAAGGCTAACATTGTCAATCAAAATCCAATTTAATGAGAAAATCTTTATCTGTTTGCTGTTTGAATAATCATAGCATATGCCACATATCCTCACATTTATTCACACTAAAACACACCGGGTTTTTATCGTCTACATCTTCAGAAATATTATCATTAAATCCAACAAATTAATCCATGTCCTGGAAGATAATAACCGACAGAAATTCCATGCGAAAAGCAAGCAGATTGTTCATGAGTAAGAGTACGATTACTACTGAGAAACCTATTCGGATCAAAATTTTGCAAATAATTCGAACAAATGATTTAAATTCAACAAAAAAAAACTTCTGGTATAACTTTCTGACAAAATTTTCGTTGAGTATATGGAAAAATAGAAGAAGCCTCTGTATTGAATCTCAATTCTTTTGTCAACATAGAGAATATTTGGTAAACAGATGTATCATGAATAACGAATATTCAAGATGAGGCAGCAAATCATAAAAAATCAATGGTGATAATCATCCATATGTTTTTCAGAACATATGTGTACCTATTGTGGACCGAGAAACATTGGCATGCACTTTATCACAAACAAGAAGATATTTTTGTCTGTTTTTGATTTAATTCTTTTTTACTATTGTTATTGTTCATTATTTTCTCGTCAAGTAGAGACAAAATGAACAAGAGAAAAATATGTTGTCTTCATTGTATGTGGTTACTATCGGCACAACCAGACAACTCTGCTGCCGGAGTGAAATTTCGTGGCGAAATTTTGACATTTTGCTGTGTTTATGTTCTTTTTGAAGAAAGCACGTACAGTGCTGTGAAACATCTAGGATTGTAAAGCAAACGTTTCTCTACAAAATGAGGTGTCTCAGAACTCTATACGTTTCCTTCTGTCCAGAGCTACAGCTAGCATTAGTTGTAGGGAAGATATCGGGCTTACGAAACTGTCTCCGGACAGCACCCTATACCGCAAGGTGGCCGAAAGGCGGGGTATTCTTCCTTCCTTCCTATGCGTTTCTTTGTTTGAATAATAAACGGTAAATGTTCTGCTGTACTGTACGTGCTTTCTTTTAAAAAATATAAACACAGCAAAATGTCAAAATTTCGTCACGGAATTTCACTCCGGTTGTAGAGTTATCTGACAGCGGTGTTATGGAATGAACGGATAATTCATCTTCCATCAGTTAGTCGCTGAAAAAATGTTTTTGCATAAGTCAGCAATGGTCTGAAGGAAATCCACCGCAAGTGAAAGAGAGAGGATGATCATCTTTTATGTAAGTATATTTTTCCTTTCCAAGACACTTTTCAGCGTATAATTTGATGGAGGATGAATTGTCAATCCCCAAGGGAGAGTGCAAACTGTTTCTGAAGTGAATTATCTGCAAATGAAAATTACTGAGACAAACTGTCTGTGACATGAATAGACCAAGACAGAAAGAGTCCGAGATAGAAATCGTCCTAGACTGTTGATATAGAAAATCCTTCCTTTGAATAGTGTAAAATATCAACTTGTTTCAACCAATTCTATTATTTTAGATGTCTTCATCATTACCGGATAATTACACACCGCCCTCATCGAATCTTGATACCTTGTCCAAAGGTCCTTCACCAGCGGATAACGCTACATCTCAGTATGGTTTTTCTCACACAATGATTCGTGTTAAAGATCCAATAAAATCACTCGATTTTTATACAAAAATTTTGGGTATGACGTTGGTTCGTGTTATGCCAATGGAATCGGGTAAATTTACAAATTATTTTTTATGTTATCCACAATCGTCAGTGCCTACTGATGAAACAGAAAAGCAACAATGGTTATGGACACAACAAGGTGTTTTAGAATTATGTCATAATTGGGGTACTGAATTAGCTGAACAAAATTTTCAAGGTTATAAATCGGGCAATGAACCAGAACATAAAGGTTTTGGTCATATTTGTGTGTTTGTTGATGATTTAAAAAAGGCATGTGATCGTTTTACGCAATTAAATGTTCAATTTAAAAAGCGACCTGAAGATGGAAGTATGAAATATATTGCATTCATTTTGGATCCAGATGGTTATTGGATTGAAATTATCGCAAAAGGAGGACGTCGAGAATGAACATTTGTTTATAGTTGTTTTTTTATTCATACTTTTATAGTTTGAGTGACATGTTTGAGTATGTGATAAAAACGTGAGTAATTAACGGTGAGCATTCTTTTGATGATTTTAATAAAAGATGCATTAATAAATTCTACGGCACTACGAAAGCATCGAGTGTTTACCGATTTTGTATCCACTATTCGCTTTACTTTGAAAACAGGCCTGGATTTTTGCGAAGGGGGGATCGACTTTTTTGCCTTGAGAGATAGTCTGAAGTCTTATCAACTAGCAACTTTTTCTGACGTGATTCAGTGGAAAAAAATCATTTTCTCAAAAGTCAAGGGAAGGATCGGTCCCCCAATCCTCCCCTTTCCCTCTGGCTATGGCCCTGTTTGAAAATGAAGCATAAGGGACGATAAGAGCCAAAATCGGCTCCCTCACCGATCAGTCTGATATTAACCGATCTGATGTAATGGATGGCGCAGAAAGAATGACAGTATTTTCTATTTTTCTCGTGTTTCTTTAGAATCCTAAGGTTAGTGTTCATTTTTAAAAGATGCGCCGGGAAATCCTCTATGAAACCAAACTTAAACTTTAATTTTAGAATTTCAATTAAGAAAAGTATGTAAATTATACGAAAGACGAAAAACACCAAAACTTTTTAAATTTGGCAATTTTTTCAACTTGAACTTTTTTCTTCTGGTATTATTTCCGTAAAAAAATGTAGCAAATGTGAGAACGCAGTTTTCTTCGTACTATTGAATGTACTCTTTCTCGTAGTCTGAAAAAAAATTTTTTTATAGCAGATGGTGTGCTGGAGAACAAAGTTATAAAATACGTCAAAAATTGACAGTCTCGCGTTTCCAACAATGTGCCGAAGCAAGAAACGGAAATCATGATCGAAGTTTGATTTTGCAGTTAGATAGTGAAGAACAATCATTTCTGATCAAAACAAGACAAATCCGATCGAAAAAGCTTTTGGTTTGATGGAGTTATGGAAGTTTTACTGAAAGCACCACTATGGCCAGAATTTAAAAAATTAATGAAAAAAACAACATGACAGTAAAATTATTATTTTTCCATAGATTTTAATGTGAAAAATTGTGAAGTGTAACTAAAAGATAGAGTGAAGTCAGAGCTACATAATGGCTGATTTAGGTTTTCTTACTTTCAAAACGTTAACACAAGAAATCGTTTTTGACTTTAGAAAGTTTTCATTTGTTTCGTCTTTCATATAATTTGCATAGTTTTCTTGATTGAAGTTCTTAAATTAAAGGTTAAGTATAGATTTGTAGAGTATTTCGTGGCGCATTTTTAAAAAAAAACGCTAATCTTAGGGTCCTAAAGAAACACGAAAACAATAGAAAATACTAAAACCGCTGTTCATTCTGCGCCGCCTATTGGTTTTTGTCTACGATTAATCCTAACATATTTTTAGACCTTAAAAACCCTTTTCAGTGCCGCTTGAAAACATTTTCGCAAAAAGAACTTTTCCCTCATTAAGTGCATAATATTTATTACAGTAATATTTATTGGTCTTGGATTTGTTAGCTTTCGATTGACGAAATGACCATGTTGGGATTTTTCAGCAAATATCTTAATAATTTTTCGTATTTCATCTGAAGATAAACAATATTTCTTGCTCTATCGATATTTCTATGTTTGATATACAAGTAACGAAATTGAGGCAATCGAGATAGAGCATATTATTTCAGTTCTAGTTATCTAAGGAGAGAAATTTTCTTAATTACAATTAAATTTATAGTTTTACTAAAAGTTTATTCATGTAGATAACCCGACGAGCTCCAGAAAATGTCATTTAGGAGTTACATTGAGTAATCACACTTAGAACAATATTTTCTAATCAAGAAAAGATAGTGAAATATTTTTTGTTTTTTCGAGAAAAAGAAAACGTGTTATCTCAGGTTAAAGGAAGTATTACTAATTTAGTTAAGGTCATATTGTTTTTTTTGAAAAAGTGCAACTTGATACGAAACCTTGTATTTTCTTTTTGTCTGGAAAATGAACGCAACTATTCTCGAAGATTTATCAGATGAGTTGTTGATCATGATATTCGAACAGTTAGACGCTTATCACATTTACACAGTCTTTCATGGTTTAAATAAACGAATTAATCAGATAATTAAAGATTTACGATTGCCTATGTCTACCGATGCAACTTGTGTCCCTCTACATCGGACGAACATCTATTATAATTACATACTACCTAATGTGTGTCAACAACTGGTTAGTTTGGTCTTATCTGAAGATCTTCTCAAAGATTTTAAACTAAATTGGAACCAATATGCTCTATCTCAATTGCCTCAATTTCGTTATTTGTATATCAAACATCTACAGGATAATTCTCAAATATTTACTGATATAATACCCAAGGCCGAACTCAGATATCTCACTAGTTTAAAATTAGATAGTTTATACATATCATTCGAATTTTTATCAGAATTGTTAACATTTACTATCAATTTACGTCGACTGACGATCATTGGAGCTATTAATCTTCATATTTGGCCCTATTTAAATAATGAGAAATGGAAACATTTGATGGCCGTTTCGTTACAGAAATTAAAACATTTTTATTTGAAATTGTACACGTGGGAAGTAGATGCAGTACTCCAATCGAGTATGTTAGTCGATAACTATTGGCGTTCAAAAGGAGATAGAATTCAGATATACATTAGCAAACCCATATGTAAATGACATTATAGCTCTTTCGACGCAGCATCGTCTACTCTACAAGATACTTAACAGTAGTTCTTGTCCAGATAGAACGTACCAAATACAATTGATCAGGACGTGTGCAATGATCTGGTGTTGTTTTTTATGTCATCTGAAATATTTTGGCAACAAATAGTACTGTGAAATATACTTGAAGGTCATTTTGTAGAGCAGACAAAGCTGTATTGAAAGAGCTCTGGACCAAGACTGAAGTTCAAAAATGTCGTTAGCTTTCTCTTCATTAAGAAAAGACCTGGATGAATCTGCGTCCTGTCTCTGATAACTTGGTAGCTAGTGTTGCTTCATTATAGCAATGAATAACTGAGCAAATGTTTTATGATGGCTGTGAGAAAAATCTAGACGAAATGAAATGTTGTTGGTTACTCACTCTCATGTTATCACCACCACCCACCCTCCCCCATCAAGGATGTCCGTGTAGATCAAAGTCTACTTAACACTGTTGTCCTTTCTGTCCTTTTTATTGTTCTTGTCTTCCTATTAATGTTGTACAAGTCATTTTAGATTGTCAAGAAAAGGGAAATTGTCCAAGCTACCAAACTACCATCATTTAGTAAACCATAGAAGTTAGTATACTGAGTATACTGTCTCACATCCAATCAGCCACGGATATATTTTGTGACGTCTATGACCATTCCGCGGCGGATACGAATAGTTCATCCTGTGACAAAGGAATATCAGATTCATGATCAGCATCAAACTCCATCTCACTCTAACTATGGGTAAACTACAATAAGATGCTTCAGTGCTAATCCTCATCACTATTTATAGAAAAATATTTCGAAGTCTGTTAACCCTTTACGGCCGGGTGTTGACCACCGGTAACATCGATCTATTAAGTGTCGAAGGAATTTCGTTCTAAAAGAATACACTTTGCCGATCCCTGTCACAGCAAAACAATAAATATAAAGGG